ATCCAGCGGCAGTTCTGAAACGAGAATAATTTTCGAGATGCTATAAGACAAATTTTCAGACGAAAAAACTTATTTTTAGAAATAATAAATATACGAAAATTAAACTGTTATACCAAACAAAGAGAAAGCACAATAACATTACAAACGTAGTATTAGAAGACATGCCAGAAATATTAACCGCAGAAATTAAGTACGCACTTCAACAAATGAAAAATGAGAAGTGTTGAAAATGGGCTCAAAGCATTGCATCTACATGATCTCTATCTTTTCATGATATTTTAACGACGTTTCATGGTACTATGAAAGCCCATCATCAATAAGATGAAAAATTAATCAGATCAATAAATCGTCCCACTTAAATGAAATTTGGTATGTCGATAGATTGAACCAAGGCCAACTTGACCGTGCAGACACCTGTCACTGTGACTGTTAGTTATGACGTAAGAAACGTCAAAAGTTGATATCGTCCGATCGCTACCAAATTTGGTGGGTAGGCTATGTGAGCGACGGTGCAGACGGTCCCACTCTACAAAAAATTAAAAAAAAAAATGGGGTGGATCACTCTTATAATCAGATCTAATGAATATACATATAAAATTTCATCAAAATCGATCAAGCCGTTTCGGAGAAGTACGGTAACTAAAACCGTGACACGAGAATTTTATACAGGGTGGTCCGAACTGTATTCCGGAAACTTCGGCAGCATATTCTGCAGATAAAAATAAGTAAAAAAGAACGATATTTGTCTAGGAGTTTTTTACATGAAAAATTTTATTTTAATGTCAATATGACTCCTACTTGTAGAGGGCGCCACCTACATATTTTTTAACTGGTTTGTAGAGTAATAACTTTTCGCCCGTACCTGTATAAAACTACTGAGTTGAAAAGTATACATTTACAACATTTTTTACGTAAAAAATGTCTCTTAGTAAAAATCGCTACCAGTAATGATTCTCGAGATATTTGCAATCATTGACATGAATTAAACATGTTGACTGAATAGTTATTAGACTGAAATCATAAATTTGAAATGTTTTTGTGCCAAAAGTTTAACAGAAACTGTTTTATCATCATTTTTTCGAAGAAAAATTTATGATTAACTTAAAAAATTAAAAAGTTACCAAATTTATCATTTCAGTCAAATAACTATCTACTCAGCATGTCTATTTTTTGTTAATAATTACATGTATTGACTATTTCCATTCTAAATATCTTGAGAACGGTTGCTCGTAGCGTTTTTTACCAAGAGACATTTTTTTATGTAAAAAATTACGGAAATGTATATTTTTTCACTCGGTAGTTTTATACAGGTACAGACAAAAAGTTATTACTCTTCAAAACAGTTAAAACACATGTAGGTAGCGCCCTCTACAATTAGGAGTCATATTGATATCGAAATCAAATTTCTCATGTCAAAAAAACCCCAAACACCAATTTTCATCCAGATATTAGCTTTACTTCAGAAATTATTTGGAAAAAATCGAAATAAAAATGATATTTCTAACTAAGTATTTCGGACATATATTTATACGAACTTTTTTACTTATTTTTAACTGGGGAATATGTTGCCAAAGTTTCCGGAATAACAGTTCGGACCACCCTGTATTTTAGATAGAAAATGTTCTCTTTATCCATTCAATTTTAAATCCTTTCTAATCTGTTCGCCGCAGCATACTAATTGGTTTCATCTTCATCACTTTACTGATATTAATTTTCTTAGACGTACAATAGATACCATAAGGTACGAGGACTTGAAGTTGTCGCCGAGTCTGACAACTCTGCAAATGATTTATTAATTTGACGAAACGAGTATAGCCCTAAAATTGCGTTTGAATTCAATAGGGAATATCTTCGAATGTCCCGACGTGCAATAATTTCACTTAATGGATTTAAGATTGAGACGCACGCATACCGTATGCCTTACAGCTGCATTCCGAAAACCCTTCACATTTTTGCAATTTAAAATTTTACCTATAAATTTTGATTTGTATATTGTATGCTAGTTTTTGGTTTAAATGAAATGTATTCTGATATTTTAAGCTTAGAATTTTTTACTAGGAGACCCTGCAGTCAAATATTGTTCTTTTAAGAACCTCTTTTAGTGCAAAGTGTAGAGAGCTTAATAGCCGTAAAAAACTCATCGCAACTTAGAATATTTTGAACGGAAAAACGGTAGTAATGGCCCTTCATGTCCCTTAGGTGCTGTTAAGAAGGTGTTTTGTTGATGTAAATAATAACTGTTTATATATTTATAGTTAATTTGTTTCCTAAAATAGTTTTTTATTAAAAGAAAATATGTAAAAGTGGGCAACGCTGTGCCGGTTAAGCTTAATCACGTGACTAAAATTTTATTTGATATGAACTATAGTTTCAGGTTTCTTCGTTAAAAATTAATACTTCGTTAATAATACGTGTTGCGAATTTAGTTTTTTTTCTTTCTTTATTCTCAAACGTAATAAGTCCTTTATTGACCTGCTATTTTTGAAATTTTTAACATTATCTTCTTTTAATTATGATAATACTTGAAGATATTAGTACATTTTCATTTAAAGGATGTGATTTTACCGACTTAATGGTACAAATCTTAAATAAGAACATTACTTTACAAGAATAAATGTAACAAAGAATTATATCAAAGTTATGTAAATGCAGACAATGAGTTTGCTATTTTAGATAATATACTCGTAGAACTAGTATGCATTCTAGAACGCAGTGGTATGCTATGTCTCAGGGAAGGGCTATAGCAATTAATTTAAGACTGTTTGCTCAAGTCCTTGATATCATGTTCTGTCTTCTACATGTCGGGGAGCTTGTCTAAGAATTCATAGATAAATTAATTCTAGAGAGTGTTTGAATTGACGTTTATATATTAAAAGTTAGTATGTAAAGTTTGAATTTACCATTTTTTTAACTTGAGATATGGCTTATAAGTATGGATAGTGTTGATAAAATATTTTTTAATATGGAATTATTATATTTCTATATTTTTATTCTTTTACTCTTTAAACCATTAAGTGTTTTACTTTGATTAGGAAAATTTGTGTACCAGAACCACTCAGAAACAGCAAACAGTCAATTAATGTAGTTTGAATACTGCCATCATATTAATTGGTCCTCTTTAATAAATATTTAAACAGTTTTTTTTATTTTTAAAGAAATAAGCGAATTGGATTTTTATACTCTTCGAAAATATTATTTGTTACCTCTAATCTAAAATGTCAATAATCCATGGGTATATTGATAACTGAGGTCTAAATTATAAGAAAATGCATTTTCTACGAAAACTTGACGAGATAGGTAAAAAATGGTATGATACAAATTGATAGACAATTAAATTGTACATCTGATTCTCGTAAAATATACAAGGTGTTCTATTAATTAAAGAAGTTATTGCCTTTTAAATCTACAGGGTGGTCCGAACTGTATTCCGGAAACTTCGGCAGCATTAAAATAAGTAAAATAGTTCGTATAAATGTATGTCCTAAAATGCTTAGTTTCGGAGATACAGGGTGTAGAAGTTTCATTTTTATTTTGATTTTTTTCAAATAATTTCTGAAGTAACATCAATATTTGGATGAAAATTGGTATCTGGGAGTTTTGTGACACGAGAATTTTGATTTTGATGTCAAAATTACTCCTATTTGTAGGGGGCGCCACATACATGTGACTAAAAAAATATACATTTCCATGAATTTTTATGTAAAAAATGTCTCTTGATAAAAATCGCTACGAGCAACCGTTCTCAAGATATTTAGAATGAAAATAGTCAATACATGTCATTATTGACAACACATAAGCACACCTTATTTGACTGAAATAATAAATTTTTATTTTTATTTAATTAATCATAAGTTTCTCTATGAAAAAAAGATGATTTAACAGTTTCTTTTGAACTTTTGACACAAAAAGATTTCAGTCTAATAACTATTTAGTCAACATGTTTAATTTATGTCAATGATGACAGGTATTGATAATTTCGGTTCCAAATATCTCGAGAACCATTACTCGTAGCGATTTTTACCGAGAGACCTTTTTTATGTAAAAAAATCGCAAATGTATATTTTTTACTCAGTAGTTTTATACAGGTACCGACAAAAAGTTATTACTCTTCAAACTAGTTAAAACATATGTAGGTGGCGCCACCTACAAATGGGAGTCATATTGACATCAAAATCAAATTTCTCATGTCAAAAAACACCCATCCACCAATTTTCATCCAAATATTGACGTTACTTCAGAAATTATTTGGAAAAAATCGAAATTCAAATGAAACTTCTACACTCTGTATCTCCGAAACTAAGCATTTTAGGACATACATTTATACGAACTTTTTTACTTATTTTAATCTGCAGAATATGCTTCCGAAGTTTCCGGAATACAGTTCGGACCACCCTGTATATACTGCCATTACTCGTTGACGAGTATTTGACACGCATCAGAAGATGGTCACGAAAGGCGTTTTCTTGCATGAGCTTTTCTCTATGAGCTCTTATGAGATTCTCTTTTAAATTTAGTAATTATTTAAAATAAATTTTTAGACATTCTGTATAAGGTAAAAGTAGTATAATTTTTATTATTGCAACACAAAATTTAGTAAATAGAAAAACTTCACAATATTTGGTTTTAAAAACTTAAATACGTCTAGAGAAATGAAGTATTAAAATTATTACTGTATTTTGACAAAAACGTAAATATTTCAAAAATGGTAAGATTAAATTTTTTAAACCTTAATCAAATTTACCCTTATTTTAATCGTAGAAACTCAAAATGTAATAATATACAGGGTGTTCTATTTAAAAAAAAACACAATTTTGATATTTTTTATTTATTTGGGACACTCTGTATCTTGTAAAAATATTCTCTAGTAGTCTTTCAATGAACCCAAAACTTACAATTTGTAAAAATCTAATCGTTTAGCTGCGATACTCCGTGTCGTATGTTTAAATAACCCTATATTATTTCAAGATTTTCTTCTAAATCATATTCGTTTTCTTTTTCAGATTACATTATGTCATCGACGCAAGAAGCTCATGTAATCCAATCCAGCAAAACAAAACTTTCACCACTAGATCTTAGGAACACTGATCTAGTATCAAGATTGCTTGCTGCCACTCCTCCATATCTGTACAACATGTCTTTATTGTCAAATACATATTTCTTTAGCGAAATGTTACGATCATTTGTGCAAGCTAAAAATGATCAGAATAATCAACGTAATACTCTCGGATTCACAGGTGCGTTAACAAATTTAGCATTATTTTCAGATTATATTAAAATTTTGGATTAATAGGAAATCAGAATATGTATTTTGGTCAGCCACCTCGAAGATCCAAGAAACGTACTTGGGGTAATATTGGACGTGATATATTTCCCAAGAGCTCTAGCTCTGTCGAAATCAAAACAGACAAATCTAATGATAAAAATGATAATAACGAACCATGGATGATAAAAAGCATGCGAAAATCTGAAGATGTTGCTGTAGAGTTAACGCAAGAACATATACACGGTCAACAAGTATGTTTTTGCAATATTTAATTAAACACTGGCTAAATTACTGCCGGTCCACACACGGCAAAATGCTATGGTTAACTTGACAAAATTCTAAATTACAAATATTTTTTATCGTATGTTCATCCATTCACTGTCGTTCTTATAAAATCTATGGACTTAATTTTAAATATTATAATTTTTTCCTATCAACTATAACGGTGCAAGCGCTACCAAAAGGTGATGGAGTCTGCTCTTTCTGGGAAGCACAAACCTGGAGCGCAAAAGAGTGTCATTTACACTCAGCACACAGCCATTTGAAAATTAATTATCATTATTGACAATATAGCTACAGACATGTAGTATAATTAAATAACATCAATATAATAAATTTGAACTATTTTGAATACAGATAAAATATTTGGAACACACTATTTTGGTTGATTATTTTGTTTTCATAATGAGGTATAGTAATGAGTTTCACGGAATTCCGCTTTTAATTTAATAAAATTAAAATCACTAATGCATGTTGATACAAGTATAAAAAAATCACCCTTTTATTTGCTGGGAGTCGGACTGATTTCTATACCAGTCCTGCAATATCAAGAAAGGATTTTTTTTAGTTTTAACAAAACAGATATTCTAAATTATGAATTTCTAAGTTTATTGCAAGCTTTTTTTCGTATATTATTGACAGTAGAAAAAATTCAAATGGCTGTGCTGTGTGTAAATGACACTCTTTTGCGTTCCACGAAAGGTGCAAGCTGCATCAGTTTTCGGTAACGCTTGTACTACTCTAGTTCAATGGAAAAATTTGTAATTTTTAAAATTATCCTTATAAATATAATAAGAAAAACAATACGTGGATATATATACGAAAAAAAAAATAATCTGAATAATGGAGCTCAGTTTTTTATAAACTTTAGTATTTGGCTTATTAAACAGGGTTAATTGAAGGGTTGTTTTTTATCCTAATTTTAAAACACCCTATGCAATAATTTTGCAAGTAATTTTTCCTAAAGCATTATTTTTCGATCAGAACCATGTTCTCCAAGGACCAAGCGCATATTCATAATTTTGGCTATCTTCAACAAGATCAATGACTTTTGTACAATCTTCCACACTAAGGGCCATATTCAATCGTACACAACAATAATCACCAGTCACCCCGTCATTATGAATTATGAAATCATTATGAACATCAAAAAGTAACAATAATAGAAAAAAATTCGAAATGTTTGTGGCAAGTTAATTTTGCTCTTAAAAATTAACCAAGGCATGAGTCAAAAAGAAAATATTTCGGAGATATGTTTCTGACCGAAAAATAATGTTTTAGGGAAATTTGCAAATGATAGCACAGGGTGCTTAAACATAAGGTAAAAAATAACTCGTCGATTAACCCTGTACAATAAGTCAAATACTAAAGTTTATAATAAACTGAATTTACGAATTAAAGTTGATATATTTATATACAGCTTGCTAAAATAAGGAAATAGGCCTAAAAATAAAAAAAAAATATAACATTTTAAACTTGACCAAAAATGATTCCGTTGCGTTTTTGCATCTGTGTGTAGACAAATATCATGTTGTCGGATGACGGTATTCTTTTGTATATGTTACAGTAAAAGTTGGAAATCAGTGATTGTTAACAATTACTAGTAAAAGCTCACATTCACTGATTTGCTAAGACTACGCCAATAACAGCTATTTTTGAAACCAACTTTTACTAGTGAATTTGCCACATGTTGTAAAATATAAGGATAAATAGGGATACGTTGAATAATAGGCAATATAAGGATAGCATTAAATTGGGCTAAACGTTGGCAACACGTAAATTCACTTTGTTTTTTGTGGTTATGTATAATTGTTTTGTTATCGTTGTAAAAAATGCTGTGCGGTACTTTCCCTAAGGAAGAAATTTCCTGTAAAAAATTATGGAAAACTAGGCACTCGCAAGAATGTAATACAGTTTATTTTTCATTTTTGCAATATAATGAAGTCATAGCAACAGTTAAGCATGCAAGAGAAAAATATATTAACGAACCTAGTGACTATGAACTTATTAAATGTTTTGATATGCTTGAAGTAGCGTTTGAAGACACTTCCATTGAAGAAAATTCGGGCATCTTTATTTTATCCACGATGAAGAACCTTATTGAAAAAACCTCATACCAATAAAAGTAATCTTATGCTTGTGAATGTTTTTTTTTTAATTGTTTTTTTCACTTTAAAATCTTTACCATGTTTTCCTTTTTAATATTTAGAATTTTAAATTAGTCGCTATTTTCTATAATTGTTAGTAAATATTAGCGATGGGAACTATCGAATGAATTAGACTATCGAATGGTTACTGAATGAATGATTTCAACTATCGAATGGTTTTATTCGAATAAAATCATTCATTCATTTGTATACTAAAGCATAAGTGACAACCACGCCGTGCGACTAAATGGTTATCGTTGCGCCACGAGCCACGACTATCGAATGTTTTTGATAAATGAAATTTAGTATTCGTTGGATTTTTGTGTGCGTCAGTGCATTATTAGTTCTTCCAAATTTTTATAACTTCGCCTTGTAAATACTATGCTATTTTTGCGTTTATTAAAATATTTAAAATACTAAAATAGTAGGTTTTTTTTAATTGACGATTGTGTGCGAAGTGGTCAAAATTTTTCCGAAAATTTGTGTGATTTTCCGTAGCCCGATCTTTCAATTATTTAATTTTATATGGTATATTATGGTTAGGTTAGATTGCATTTTTTTTATGGGAAATTTTGAGAAGTAGCAATTTTTAAGAGAGATGAGATGAACTTACAATTAATTTTAAAAATACATATTTGTATTTTAGATGTTTTAATAATATGAATTAGTTGAACTTAATAATAATATTTAAGTAATGTGGTTAGGTAAATGGTTATCGAACTCAAATTTTGGGGTGAGTAAATTAAATTGAAAGTTTTACACGTGCCAATTTAAAAAAAAGTTAACAATGTTTGTATTTTGTTTATGCTAATTCTCTTACATGTAGTTTTTGGCGAAGAAATATGTCATTTATTTTTTAAAGTAAATGCCAGCAAAAGTAAATATTATTTTTAAATAGTAATAAAAAGTAATATAAATAATTTTGATTTCTAATTTTTTATTTATATTTTCCTTCCATTACACTGCATGCTTAGAAAATTAATAAATGTTTATATTTAATGATTTTAAAATTTGTTAATATAACAAATTAGTTCTGTAATTATTATTATTTAATAAACCAACGTTGCCATTTAGAGACTATATTGTTTTTAAATAGGATCTAATATAAATACTTTTGACTTCTATTTGTTGTTGATATTTTGCTACTACTTAAAAAAAATGTTTATATTATTAAATGATTTTATATTTTGTTGTTAATAGGTATAACAAATTATTACTGTTATTATTATCTATTAAACCAGTCTTTGCTTAAAAACATTAAAAATCATTTTCCTACATCTAAAATAAAAAGTATTATTGCAGTGTAATAACAGAATATTAATAAAAAAATGCAAAACATTAGACATACTATCCCTAACTAACTAATGCTAAAAAATAATATTCTTTGCTAATACCAACTAATACGAATATATGGCAACAGCGCCCTTCATAATGTATTTTCTGTGTAAATACTAGCACCTCAATAAAAAAATAATGTGTCCTTATCTTTATTTGACTCCCCAAAAAATCAAAGATGCCGGCTTCTTTCATAGCATTGCCACCGACCGCTGCGCTGTCGGGTTTCTAGGAAAGAAACCTACCTCGCCGGACGACAACTAAAATCCAGTTTATATTTCATTAAAATCGATCCTGACGAATAAATGAATTTGATAAATGAATGAATTTTATAAATGAATGGTTTTTGCTGCCGAATTACTAGAATACAATATTTCAAGGCAGATAACGCATCTATTCGATAATTTTTATTCGAATAGTATTCGACGAATGTTTTTTTACTAGCTATCGAATTATTCGAATGAATTGCAACTATCGAATGTTTCGATAGTATTCATTCGATAGTTCCCACTACTAGTAAATATACTAAAGAAGTAAATTGTAATTTTAAGATATGTGGATCAGCTTGAATATTGAGGTAATCTTCTTAAAAGTTTTATTTGTTCTAACTTACATCAACATTCTTCCTCACCACTGAAAAACCTTGCCCTGTAAAATGGAATAACTTTTACTGGCAACCTTTAGTAAATGATACTTTCACTAGTGAATGTTAGAAATTATTAGGAAATATCGACAAATCTCTTTAAAATATCACATTCACTTGTCCAATGCGTAATTGCTAAGATTTCCTAGTGAATGTTAACAACATTTCACTGAATTTCGGACTTTCACTGTAACATATACACTAACAATACCGCCGGTGGTTGTTTAGCCAGTGCGATAATTAAAAGTAGTGCAGATTTTTGTTATTGAAATATAGTTTGCAGAACACGGGGAAAGGAAGACTCCAAAAATCGAAGAACAATCCACTCAATACGCCCCTCAGCCAGAAAACTCAACTAACCTAGTTTTGCCACCACCACCACCATTCTGGTATCCACCTATTTATTCAAATACACCCTACGGAATCGATCCCCTGCATTTTTTTATCGATTTGCGAGTTTCGGGCCATATTTACGATAGACAAAACGGCAATTACTTCAAAGATTCCGTTAACAACACAAACGACACAACCAGTACGGTTGTTAGTGAAAAACAAATAGAGAAAACTGACTTTCAAGAAAAAAACGTCAAATCTGAAGAATCGCATATAGATTTTTTTAAGCAACGACGTAACACTTCTGCGTTTTCAGTACCAAATGCCAATACACTAATGAAAAATCGTTCGAGCGAGAAGTTTCAGAAAAGCTTTGATGTTAAAGCCATGGGTTTCGATAAGACACCGAATCCAACCGGTATAAACTACGTTATGGGTAATATCAATAAAATATATAAAAAACTAAATAACGCTCAGCAATGTTCGTCCAAACAGGAGGCCAGTATTAGTCCAAATAACCAAACAGATTTAGATGACAATGCGTCGGCCAAATTTACAGAAAATAATCTAGAAACCACAAGAAATGATGAAAAAATTAATGAGAAGAATGCGGAAACGGAAGCTGAAAAGGAAAAAAGAGTCAAAGATTTAAGGGCTTTGATTGGTTTAGAATTAGTTGTTGATTATATGAGTCATAAGAAACCTTTACCGCTTTCCAATCAGGATTCTTCGTACTCTGAAGGGGAAGCTAGTGCTTCGGAAATTGAAAGTATTGGTAGTCCACCACTTGAAGTTGTAGATATCCAGGATGATGCTTAGGCCATGTTAATCTAAATGTCATATTTATCGTAAAGTTGTTAAAACGTGTAGCACTTTGATACTCCAAAAGATTTTAAAACTGAAGTATAACAAAATCAGATTGCTTTTAGAGAAGTAGTCAAAATATATATCTATAAAGATTTCTTTTCTTTATTTTTTGATATTAATTTTTTTAAAAGACTGCAATGTTGTGTTAGGTTTTTATTCTTTGTCCATTTTTTTTCTTAGAATATTTTATTTGATTCATGTTAGTTATACAGGGTGGCCCATCGAAAACGTTCCGCAAGGCATAACGGCCAGGGTAATTTTTTTTTAGAAAAGTCAAAAACACGTCAATTTTGTTTGTGAGGGGGACAACTTTTCCCCAAAAATGATTGCAAAATCTTTAACCCTCTAAGCGAGGGTGTCATCCCCCAATTTTTTTCAAATGGGAAAGGGGGTCAAGTGGTACCGCAATGAAAAGGGCTTTCTATTCTCTATACATTCCCGCTTCGTTTTTGAAAATCGGTCTAGTCATTGAGAAAATATGAAGGATTGAAATTTGAAAAGTTTATTTAAACATTTATGAGAGTAAATGATAAGGATAAATTCCTTCAACCAATTTGTTGTTTTTTCTTATTATTTCTAGATGTTTACGCATTTTTTCACTTGTCACAAGGTTGAACGATCAGGTGCGGTAGTTGCTAGATAGCTGTTTTGTGACTTGTGCGTTGAAGTTATTCTCAATGTCATTAAACTTTTTAACAATTATTGTGAACTCACTTGCAGGAAAAGTGGAAATAATTAGCCAATGAAACCGGCGTGAATCGTACAAGTGTCCAAAGGATATTAGAATTTTTTTTTTAGAATTTAGAATGAGTGGGAGGGGGGTTAATCACTTCGACCTTACAGATCCATTGTGTCCCCCTCTCTTGAATCATAACTCATCATACAGTCCCAGGGCTTTTACAAAAGCCAGTATCTGGGACGGTTTATAGAGGGTAGTTCTCCATCTCCAATATCAGTCGTACCAAAATTCATGGCACGAATGGTTGTCGTCTCGGCGCACTCAGTGATGAGGTGTACTGGTGTTTCCCCATCTTCCCCACAGAATCTGCATTCGCCGTTTCTTCTTAGTTTCAATCTACTGAGATGTTCATTGAGGAGACAGTGTCCTGTTAAAAACCCCGTGACAATCCGAAGATTGTTCTTACTCAGACCCAGGAAGATCTGTGATTTTTCTGGATATTAAGAAAACTCAAGTTCCACCCGTACAAAATTCAGTTGGTACAAGAACTCAACGAAGACGATTTTGATCGTCGCTTGCAATTTTGTGAAACTATGAGTGAACGAGTGGCGAATGATAATAATTTCCTATTTAATGTGTGTTTTTCGGATGAGTGTACTTTCTTTTTGAACGGTGTAGTTAATCGGCACAACTATCGGCACTGGACAACCCCAGGGTTTTTCACGCGGTGCACACACAAAACCCTCAGAAATTCAACGTGTGGGTTGGTATTTTTGGAAATTCTATTGTAGGTCCTTTTTTTCTTCCTGGAAATCTAACAGGTGATATGTACTTGGATTTACTGGAAAATGCCATCGACCCAGCTCTAACTGACATCATAGAGAACAATTCTGGATACGTTGAAGCGGAACTAATAACCAGACGGTGCACCTCCACATTACTCTCAAGATGTGCGTAATTATTTAAACACTAACTTTCCCGGTCGTTGGATAGGTCGAAGGGGTGCAATTGAGTGGTCTCCCCGGTCAGCCGACTTGACTCCTTTAGACTTTTTTCTATGGGGACACATAAAAAGTAAAGTGTATAGCACTCCACTCGCCTCATTAGAAGACCTGCGAAGACGAATTATTGATGTTTGTCGCGAAGTGACCCCGCAAGTTCTTCAGAATGTTCGAGAACGGTTTGAAAATAATTTGTATTACTATATGGAGGGTTGACGGGCAATATTTTCAGCGTTTGCTACATTAATAAGGTAAATTTTTTTAAATTAATTCAATTTATGCGTTTTTATGCAAAAAGTACTTTTCAAATTTCAATTCTTCATATTTTCAAAATGACTCGACCGATTTTTAAAAACCAAGCGGGGAAATATAGAAAATAGAAAGCCCTTTTCATTGCGGCGCCACTTGACTCCCCTTCGCATTTGAAAAAAGTTGGGGGATGACATCCCCGCTTAGAGGGTTGAAGATTTTGCCATCATTTTTGGGACAATAGTTGTCCCCCTCACAAACAAAATTGACGTGTTTTTGGATTTTTTGAAAAAAAAAATACCCTGGCCGTTATGCCTTGCGGAACGTTTTCGATAGGCCACTCTGTACAAGGGTTATACCCGTTATACCTTCGAGGCAGAGATTAATTTTAGAGAAAGTTTACATTTTTGTTTTCATTAAGAATTTGACACATTAATATTGATGTAATTGGATACCGTCCTGTTTTATTCTATTTAATTTAAATCCTTTTTATTTATCAATTTATTTATATTTTATTTATTTTGTCTGCGGTATTGGATAGAAACTGACTGTGAATATAGTTAAAATTAAGTTTTGTTTATCCTTGCTTGATTTTTATTAATAAAAAGGTATGTTATAAATGTGGAAGTGCATATCAGTCGTCGATGATGTATTTATATAGATACAGGGTGTTTAAAAAAGCATGTGCAATCTCTCGTGGGGAGATGCCTCACGTAAAAATAAGATTTATTTTTCATATCAACATAGGTCCGATTCTGCTTTGTTTCGTAGGTACAGGGTGTTAAAGTCTTAATAAGCTTTCGGTTTATTATTTATATAATTTTCTTCCAAGTACTTTTAGTGATTCGAATGAAATATTGAGGGTAAAAGTTACTATAAGTGCTACATATTTTAATGCTAAAAAAGTGTCGTTAAATTCAACAGGGACGTGCATATGGGTTATCACTGGAATATTTTTCAAAAAAAAACATGTGCGCCACTGACTTTTTTCTTTAGATATCAAAATTGTGTAGGCCGTTTAATGCCAATTAAAAGTTATTTCTTGATTTTTTGTTGAATTCGGGCTCTTTGATGAGATAGTCCAACTTACAGTTCAGATAGTCCAACTTACAATTTCAAATAAAAAAATAATGGTATTTAAGATAACTACAACCTAATCTTAAAAAGTTGATGAAGAATCAATGAGTACTTATTTAAAACTTTTACAAGTTAATGATATTAAAATTTTTATAAAGGTTGCTATTAGTCCTGGATCAAGGCAAATTAATAAAATTGCGTTTATCTCATCAAGGAGGCCGAAATCGACAAAATATCAAGAGACAACATTTAATCGGCATTAAACCGCTTACACTATTTCGCAAGAGAAAAAAGTCAGTAGCATACATGCTTTTTTTAGAAAAATATTCTAGTGATATTCCATATCTATTCCATCCCTGGTGAATATGTCGACACTTTTTTAGCATTAATATATGTCGCATTTATAGTAACTTTTACCCTCAAAATTTCATTCGAAACGCTAAAAGTACTTGGGAGAAAATTATAATAAATCGAGAAAATATTAAGACTCTAACACCCTGTAGCTACAAAATAAATCAGAATCTATCTATGTCTATGTTGATATGAAAAATAAATTTTATTTTTACGTGAGGAATCTCCACACCAGAGATGGTACATGTTTTTTAAACACCCTGTATACGTAACTGTTCTAAATGTTCTTCAGATGCTAGTTAAACAAATATTTTTCACTTATATCGATTTTTTTTAAATGTCCGATTGTTTCAAATAAAAATACTGGAAATATTAACAATTTAAGAGAGTTTAAATCTCTTTGTTTTACCTAAGAATTCCTAGTATATTGTCTTGATCTCAATAGTATCATCTAATTAGATTTTGTTGATGATCGATTTTTAGAAACACCATTTATTTTAAGCTAATATATAAAAATAAGTACTTAATAAGCATTAAATTAAATACTTTTTAATTAGTTTAATATTTTATTGAATTTAAACACAATTAATCTAGTCAATGTTGATGTAATTATAATCTGTATTAAAATTAATTATTTGCATCTTTGGGTTTTATTTCGTAAGTGGTGAAATCTATGGTATTAAGTAGTTTAGTTAGTTTTAGTAGTTTTGCGGCGTGACTCTCACTGCTTTAATAAAGCGCACACGTGTAATTGACACATGTTACAGGGTGCAGCAAGGTCTACCCTATTGTCCACACTCTTTTCATTATTAAATCTTCACTGTGGTTGTAATAAGGGGTGACTTGTCACCGCCATAGGTCCCATTGAGCCTATCGCTAATTTGAAATATCTTATTGGTAAGTATGTTTTAGAGAGAGTATGCAGGGTGTCCCAGGCTGAGCGTTTATTATAAATTTCTAGAGAACTATAATATCTAGATCGGGGATTTTTTGCACATAATTATTTCACAACGAGATCTATCGATTAAAAATATTTTCAATATGGCGGCACTTCCGTAAATACCGTAAGTTGACAGCAACTTCCTTATTTTAAATGGGTACCCTTATCTTTTATTGCATAGTTAAATTATTTGTAAAATTTTATGAATTTTGATTTCAAATACTCTATACCTAACATTAACCGTTTTTAAGAAAAAAAATATTTAAAATTTTTGGAGGAAAAAAACTGCCTGTCAAAAAAATGTCAAAAACCTAAACGTATTTAGTGATTTCCACAGCCACTGTGACATAAAGAGAAGATATGTGGCTATCTATTTCAAAAATTAAATTGTTCAAATGTCATATAATAATGGCGGTAGCTGTCATGGGATTGAGAGATTAAAAAATTACCATAAATCATTTTTTTACCTTTCTTTGACAATAAGTGTCAAACAATCAGGCAATTTATTTCCATCTGTCAGAAAACGAATTATTTGAATTTCCTATATTATAAATACTGCTGCTTAAGAGTTCAAAAAGTATATTTATCATAATATATCTCGTATTTTCGCTCTTTAGTGATATCTAATAGTTAATATTACTAATAATATGCCGTATGATCCAAAAAAAACTTCGCAAAGTTGGCTTGGAAATGATGATCGATAACATACTGCTTTTTAAACAAAGTGTCACAA